AACTTCCTTTCAGCCAACTGTGAGGCGGCAATAAGTATAGCCAATGGTCTGTACACAGGAAGCTTCAATCATGGAGGATCCATCATATTTACATGTGATGTTGGTTACACGTTGGTAGGAGAATCAACGATCACATGCGATAATGGTCAATATAGTTCATCATATGCAGAATGCAAAGGTATAATAATTGTGTTTGAGCTTCAGTTTTTTAATTTACAATTATAGTTTTGAATTTAATAAAAAAAAATTCTATTTCCTTGTACTTATTGGCAAAAGATAAGACAAAATTGCCAAGAAAACCTCTCGTTCAGTCTAATTGTCTAAACACTATTATTGCAAATTTTTTTTTCGATCACCAGCTAACTGTGAGCGCCCTCCATTGGTTCTTAATGGTGAGGTAAATTCAGATGCGTCTCATGGAGGTAAAACATCATTTACATGTAGAGACGGATACACGTTAGTTGGTGTCGCAAGTACTTTGTGCCTGGATGGACAGTACCAAGATCAATTTCCAGTATGCTATGGTAATTAATAAATGTCTTTTTTTTGTCTTTTAATTATTATTATGTTTCTGTTAGCTGTCATGTGTCTGTATGACTAAAGGTATTCAATTTGCAACGTGTTATAGACTTATAAAATAAAATTTATAACACATCCTTTCAGCAAACTGTGAGGCGTCAATCAGTATATCCAATGGTCAGTACACAGGAAGCTATAATCATGGAGGATCCATCATATTTACATGTGATGTTGGTTACACATTGGTAGGAGAACTAAGGATCACATGCGATAATGGTCTATACAGCTCATCATTCCCAGAATGCAAAGGTATCGTGTTTGATCTTGAGTTATTTTATCTACAATTTTAATTTTGAATTTAATTTAAAATAAAATTTACTTTTAATTTTAAATATTTCTTTTTTCTATTATTGAGTTGCAAAACATAAGACAGAACTGCCGAGAGCAACTTCTTGATTAGTCTAATTTTCTAAACACTATCATTGCAAATTTACATTTGGTCACCAGCTAACTGTGAACGCCCTCAATTGGTTCTTAATGGTGAGGTAAATTCAGATCTGTCTCATGGAGGTAAAACAACATTTACATGTAGAGATGGATACACGTTAGTTGGTGTCAACAGTACTTTGTGCCTAGATGGACAGTATCAGGATCAATTTCCAGAATGCTATGGTAAATCTGTTCAATATTATGTTTTAATTTTCAACTTGTAAAAACAATTAATCTTTTTTTTTCATTTTTATGCTAGAGGTATTCAATTTGTTTAGTCGATACAGGAAGCTTTAACTCTTTCACTACGTAATTTCCTATTCCATATTTCCCATATCTGGACGGAATAAAATGCAGGGAATTTGGGGAAAATAGGAGATATACAGAAAAAGCGTTATAAGTTTTTAATTGGCTTTCAAAAATATACAAAAGTATATATATTCTTTATCCTTGAGACCTTCTCTGTCTAATTATAAGAGTCACTGTCACTGTCGTTGGTGCCAGTGTTATGCACACTTTCACTATCATCACTATCATGACTAGGCCTAGCTAGGCCTACCTATCATCATCGCTAATATCCATGTCATCTTGTCATTCAGTGGCAGTATTTGAACAGTCACTATCACTCTGGGTATCATCATCATTGACATCCCACTGTGCAAGTCTGCGAAGCACTTCTTCTGCAGTTAAAACGTCTCCCAAGGGCAGCCATTGAAATGTTACTCAAAACAACAATGCCTGCTTGAAGCCTGTTTCAGCCTTTATTCAGACAGAGAGCCGCCCTCAACGGCTCAAAATAAGGTCAAATGTCATGCAGATTGTTGTTCAATATAATATATGCAAACGTCATGGGGATATCCCCGGGATATCATCATTTGTTTACTGTGACGTCAACAAGCCGCTGTCAGCGGCTTTCCGCTCAAACTGCATATTTTATCTGCGCCGCTGTGAGCGGCTCGCTGTAGCGAAAGAGTTAATCATCATATTCACATAGAATGGAGTTGAATGCCTTGCATTTCAAACCCCGGATTCCGTGATGTGTGTGTCCTTCTTGGCACATAACTTAAAAACTACTAAACGGATTAACGTCAAACTTTCACACATTGACAGTATTACATGTATCTGGGTCCTCCTAGAATTTGGTGTTGACATTGGAAGTATGACACGGCCAACTCAAGCGGATCCTTGACTAAGTCGTTTGGCTAGGCCAGACTGACTCCAAGAATCGGACTGACTAGAGC